TAAGGCGGGAATTCACGCCGTACTCTTGCCATCTGCTGCGGTATAATCACTTCGTTCCCGTAGTAGTGAGTACGTCAGAATTTGCCGTAATATTTTGTTTGAAGTCTTAATTATTTGAATTTTTTCCTTGTGATCAAATTAATTGCGTTTCTTTACGAGTTGATGAATTATGGATAAACGCAATTTTGTCAAAATTTATTTGTAGAACTAAAAAAGATGTCAAAACCAGGGACAGCTTCAGGTTCTGCCGCCAACACCGTCCAAGCGGCAATCGTAAGTATTTCCTTATCGTTTTCGTTTGTTTTATTCTTTTTGACTCAGTCGAGTTCTTCGGTTTGCTTATCCGGCACTAAGCTGGTGGATACTGATACGTGTAACAAGTTACTAGAATGTTTATTTATTTCTGTTAATTTGATTTTTACAACAACCCAATGGAGTGGACAACAGCGCACGTGTTGCTGTGCAGAGAAATTTGGTACAGGAGTTTTTTAAGTTCAAGAAAGGGAGTAATGAGAGAGGAAGTATTTGGACGCAAATTTCCGAGAACCTCAACAGTGTAACTGCAGTCAAATTCAAAGTGAATCAAAGAGCGGTAAGAGAGCGATTTGACTTGCTACTCGGAAGATTTTGACAGCAAAGTAGACAAGAAGAAAATGCAAGTGGTATATCTCCCGAACCAACAAAACTCGACGCACTGTTGGAAGAAATTTCTGAAAGAGAGAAATTAGCAGAATCAACGAGAGAATCGTGTAGCAGGAGTGTCGAAACAGATCGCAAAAAAATCCGAAGAGACGCGTTTCCAAGCCTTGGAAAGAGTTGGTGAAACAAAAAGAAGGGAAAGAAAAGCGAAAAGGCAACGAAGAAGCGGAGCTGATGTTGTCGAATTTCTACGGGAAAAGTCAGAAAAGGAGCTTAAGATCCGCGAAGAAGAGCTCGCTTTAAAAGCAAAAGAAGTTGAAAACGAAAAAGAGAAGCAAGCACCAAGGAGGCCATGATTACAAGAGGGTCTGGATGGGGGTGCCTCGAAAACACTAAACACTAAAATTTTTCCATCTTAAATTGTAGGCTGTTTAACATCTAACAATAAAAAATTCACTGTAACACTAAATTTGATACAAATGTAAGCGCAAATGGCTTAAGAAAGCGAAAGATACTAATCAAGACGAACGTGGACATTC